GTATCGCAAAGATTTGCCATTGCATAAAAACTTTAATAGTAAGAGTTGATTGTGATATGACATATTCTTTATCATTTAATAATAGTAGAATTGGGATGCGAAAGAGTGAGACAAAGGTGCATAAAAGAGATAAGGATATTATTGTAAAATTAAACATTAATGTTGAGTGATTTCTTATTTATATTTTGTGATATTATATGTCACGGATAATTGTGAAATTCAGATCGTGACTAATCACATCAGATATATCAAATATATTAGACTTCAAATTAGGGATAGGAATCGGCTATATGATTTAGTCGACTAAATCGACTAAACATAGTAATTCACATATAAATTTTTTGGTCGACTAAATCGATTCCTATCCCTACTTCAAATATCACGATCATCCGCGACGTTTACATTATACTCAACTTATTATCATTTAAACATGTGCTAACTGTAAGTATCTCACCTAAATAGTGGAGAGTTATTCTCAAGGTGTTATCTGTCATATTTTTGGCATAAACTCAAATAAATATATCGTAAATTTTCCTGTGTAAAGTACAGTACCTGTAATCCTTCGAGTTCAATAATCAAATAAAAGTTGATAAAATGATTGGTAAGAAACATCACCAGGAATTTAAACACTTTTTGATGCGGCTTCTTCGAATAAGATTTTTTGTTAGGGTTAATGATTATAGACTTAAAATATCAATTCATACATGTAAAATTACGTTCTCGTAGTGCCCAGAGGTTGATTTGTTTTCTTCTGTCAAGTTGATAAATAAAAGTGATTATAAAGTATAATTAAAGGCACTACTCTAGTACTAGTTTTTTTTTTAGTAAATCAAAAGGAATAAATAAACTTAAAGCTATTTTTCAAAATTTTTTTTTATTTGTTAGTATTAATATAAAAAAAATTGTCCTTAAGAATTTAAAAAAAAATTGTCCTTAAGATAACTATATTAACATATCTACATTTAATTTTTACTACAATAACTACAATAAAAAATGTTCCTTGCTGTTATATTTAATGGATGCACGCAATTTTATCAGATTCAGGTTTTACCAATTTAATCAGCTCTCCTGCTTTAGTTATCATCTCTGGGCTCAAAAGCGAAGATAGTAAAACTTTTTTAACAATCATTCTATAACTATTTGCTTTTAGAATGGCATTAAGATGTTGATTCGTAAAACACTGAGATCCACCTGTAAGATCAAGTTCAAATACAGGATTTTTACCATGATAAAAATTCGGATCATAAAAATTCTCATTTAAACCGAGAAAAATTTCCAATGATATACAAGTAAATGTCCACCATTTTCCACGTAGAGCAAAGCATTTCAAAGTAGCAGGTAAACCATTCCTTCCTAATGTTTCCAGCATAGAATTTGTTTCATATATGCTTAATGCTTTTTCACAACTTCCTATTTGACATAATATAACAGTTTCTAAATAAGAACAATTTTTAAATAGTTCAATTACTTGAGGTATTTGCTCTTTACATTCTATATTAATTTTGAAATAAGTTAAATTAAGAAATCTCGGTGCCATAAATCTAATAACATTCTGATTAACAACACCATCCAAGTCTTGTGGATAAGATAATTTTCCTAAATGTATCCAACGTAAATTAAAGCTACAAGCGTCAATAATAGTTTCAACAATTTTTACAGGAGTGGCAAATTCATCTTTACCATCGTCAAAATGTAAAGTTGAAAGTTTTGATAAATTGATTACTTGATCCAATGAAATATCAGGTCTTGTAGAATAACAATTATAAAATTGTAAAGTAACCAAATTTGATAATGGAGTTAAATGATTTAATACGGAACTCAGATCAATGTTGGAGAAAAATAATAAACGTAGAGTAGCTACTTGAGTTTTTAAAGCTGACAAGATATTTCCTAATCCAATCGAACAATATTGTATTTCCAGATGAACCAATCCTCTTTGAGATTTAATTAATTCCGAAACCGATTCATATTCAACAATTCTTGAATTTCTCGAAATTGGAATTAAAGGAAATGATAAAGAATATGTCATATCACAATCAACTCTTACTATTAAAGTTTTTATGCAATGGCAAATCTTTGCGATAC